TTGGGAGTAATTCTCATATAGGGCAAAAATCACGTGCTTACACCCGCTTCGTTAAAAAAATTAATTATTTTCCATGTTAATTTCTTCAGAAAATCATGAAAGTAGAGACTGTAATATGAGATGAACCCAGTTGACAGAAATGGAAACCGCGGAGCAGCGGCAAAGAGTTTACTAAGCAAGGGCGGAGGTCACAAGTTCGAATCTATGTGGGAGTGGAAACGCATTTTTTTCCTTTCTTTTTGTTGTGAATTCTTATTATGTTAAATTTCTTACAGTTATAAGTTTTTTTTTTAATTTGGTTAAATATTTTTTTAAAATTTTAAAATTCTAAAAATTAAAACTAATTGGTAATTTTTTTAAAAATTCCCAACTTCGATTTAAAAAAGAGCGTTAATGACTTTATTTTGTGGTCGCATGATGAACAAAACTGAGTAGTGAGTAATTCTATTTACCGGTACCGGTTATACAAGTCGCTACTATGCTTTTAACGAAATTCGTTTGTATAAAATTTTAGGCCTGGCCACTATTTGCTTATGGTACTACATTGGTGTAAATTAGAAGTTACACTACCCAAAAAAAAAAAAGTTATTTTAATATAAAATGATGGCCTACAATGTTGTTACTTGAAGATAGTAGGTGTCTTATTATTTTGAAACAAGGGCCAAAATATATAAAATGAAAAAGAAGTTTGATGGAGTAGTATAAATGAAGGACTTTTCGGTTCTCCATTTCCAACTTAAAATTCAAGCAACTACCAAGCAACTTCCATTCTTGTCCCTTTTTCCATCCCTTTTGCTTCAATTCATACGCTTCCCCTGTATTTTTGTATACGTGTATAAGTGCACGTCCTTATACACTGTAAAAAGCACACTCAAAATACCAGTTAAATCAAGTGTATATGTCAGACAACCATATCCGGCGAAGATTTCCGGTAAGCCGGAGAGCTAGGAACAGACCACTAAAACCGTCGCTGTCGGGTCATCGGAGGTATACGCCTGTGCCGGTGAAGCGCCGATCATCGAAGCAGCATAGTAGGGATACTAATTATAGGACGCTAGAGAGATGTAAATCAGAGCCTTGTATTTTGAAAATTGGAGTCATTGACTTTGACGATGATCTCGGCCGGGATGTGACGGCACCGTCGTTAGAAATCCTTTTGCGGCCACAAACTTGTTCGGACATATTCTGGTCTCCTGATTATCATAATTCTGGATCTCCGCAGAGTTTTCAGGTACTTTTTTCCGGAAATTATGTAAAGGTATTTTAGTTGTTCGATCGGTATATCAAAAGGACTGTTTGTTTGCTTGCTATTCGTAATTGATATTTCATTATTCGAGGTATTACTTGTTTACATTTTTTTGTTTATATTCATACTATTTGAGTTTAGCTTAGAAAATGATTTTTTCTTTTTAAAAAACTAATTTAGATGTGGTTATAGTTACCTGCATAAAAAGGTAATATTATCATTAGTGTAGCATTTGTTAGTTGTTACAGTCTGTTTATTAACAAAATTAGTAAATTCATCATTACCTGAGTAATTACTCTTTGGATTGGCCTATTCAACTGCTAATTAGCTAACCTTACTCCAAATATTCATTTGGAAACTTGGATTTGGTGCATGAATGAATTAATGGGATAAGATTATTGTGATCGTCTATTCATATCATAAATATTTCGTGTCGAAAATAGTAACTTCAATTAAACTCAGTCTCATCGGCTGCGAGTCGTGCATACGGATCTAGGATTCTAGAATATGGGTGCACCATTGAAAAAGCAAGAAAAAAGAAGTATTGTAAATGAGAATCGATTCATGTTCATTTGGATAAATAACTTAGTATTCAACCAAGTGCACCATTCAAACTTTTTGGAACATGGAGGTCATCAACATATAATAGTAGATCAATTTTATACGAAATACATACTCCAGAAAGACCATGAGTTTACGTGTACCGTAAAAAATATCTAAATTCACCCCTAGAGTCGCGCGAAGTAGGCCAACCCCCGTTCTGAGCCTTAGCGTACTTACAACCTTTCTTGATATCTAATATTTGTAAAAATATTGTGCAGCACGGGTATGAGAAGGAGGCAAAAGTTGTGGTTAATGTGACAGTTGAAGGTAGTCCAGGACCGGTGCGAACCATGGTCAAGTTGGGATCAAGTGTTGACGAGACAATAAGACATGTCATAGACAAGTATAGTGAAGAAGGCCGCACTCCTCGGCTTGATAAAAATGCTGATTCATCGTTTCAATTGTACCAGTCTTACTTCAGTCTTCAAAGTAAGTCCTAATTACACCTCAAATTCACTATAGCCAAATTCTGGAAATGCTGAGTCTAAGTACAAATTTTGATACCTCTAAAATAAATTGATTCTGTATTCTTTAAGCTACATCTTTAATTCTTATGTCTGTCAAACCCAGGAAACATGTATAAACTCTTAGGGATCGTTTGGTACAAGGGATAAGGGATAATTAATCTCGGGATTAAATTTAAGATGAGTTTATCCCATGTGTAGTTGAGATAAAATCACGGTATAACTAACCTCGAGATTAGTTATCCCAGGATTGAAGTGTTATTCTTATCTCTATGGAAGGATGGGATAACAATTTCGGCATAACTAATTCTGGGATAATTAACCCGGCAGAATAAAAGTTTAGCAGATTAGTGATCTTGCGGCCTTAAGATTATACAAATTAACATCTTTCATCCGCAAACTACATTGTGACAATATATAGGATGATATTTGTAATTTAAATAAATGATGTTAGGACTAATATTTATATTTAATGTACCTAAGTCATGACTGGTATTTAAATACAGTTGGTGTATAAGCCCTTTCTTTGTTGAAAGGCCATTCTCCTGTACTTGATATAAGGTTGGCTGATGAAACATAGAAAATTTATCTTTGGCTCGCATAGTAATTGTTTAACTTTTTTGTCATATTGACAAGTTAGTAAAAGATAATGTTTGAATGAAACAGTTGCCTCTTTGTCCAGTCTCGAAATGTCATGCTACATGTTAAAATTAATACGTAGTGTAGCTATTTGTAAATTTCAGCTTGTGATTTATCTTTTTTTCTTTCAAAGGGAAATATATGTGATAGATTAGATTATAAGTTTTATGCACGGTGAGTGTAAAACATTTCCACAATTAGATCATTAAAATATAATTACATGTGAATATCTGTAAAAATCATTGTCTAGTAACCTCAAGAGAAAAGTAACCTACTAAAATCAGTTGAATTATACTGATGGTGTAAACATTCTTTATATTATAATTTTCCTTTTGTTTTATCTTCTTTTTCACATTTTCTTCCTTCTTTGATAATTTTGTATTTCATTGATATAGGCTTGAATAATACAGATGTGATTGGAGATGTTGGAAGCAGAAGTTTTTATCTTCGAAAAAGTAATAGTAGTAATGCAAGTTACCAGGAAATAGCATTAGAGATTGCTCCGGTTAAGGCAAATTCCCATCCACTCGTTATTTCCCATGGATTCTTTGGTCGCAAGATAAATAAAATAATTAGAAGATCATGTAAGCTATGGAAAATCCTTGGTTGCATGCAGTGTTCTGGATGACACAATATTACTACAACACAGGTGAATCCAGAATTTTATACTAGTGTGTGACTTATATGTACTACTATTCGATGATAGAGTAGCATGAGTATTAGATTTGCTACTCAACTTAAAAGAATTTTAATATAAAATGTAATGAGAAAAGATAACAATTTAACGTGTACTCCTGAATTTAGTCAAGGTGCATTCGTCCAAACACCGGTGTATTGGTGTTCGGACCAATGGATTTACAATTTGCTAAACCACTGGTGTTATGAGAAAAGATATATACAATTTAACGTGTACGCCTGAATTTAGTCAAGGTGCGTTCGTCCGAACACCAGCATATCACCACCGTTATTTTTTTAAAAAAAAAATTGTATTAAAATATATCGAGCTCAATATGTGTAACTATATATATAAATAATTATGCTATCATTGAGGTAGGAAAACTATTTAAACATTTGTCTATAGAATGATAAATTTTTATAATAACAATATTGATTATTGTTTACTTGTCAAGTTATTGTTATGGTAAAATTTTAAAGGACCAAATAAAATGGTGGTCGCATAGCAGTGCACCCATCCTTCTGAAATCCCGGATCTCTGAATCTTTCAGCTATCAAGACGTTAGTCTACGAAAACGTTTAGTGTCCATAATCTTTTGTGGTTTAAAGATTGAGTCGTCTCTAGAGGAGTTTCACTTTTACCTTTTCAAATATTGGATACAAGTGAAAAATCTTGTTTAAATATCTGGTGGTCCAGGTTAGGTCGGATAATTAATGGGCGTTTATTGCTAATTATAACATTATTAAAGTGACGGCCAGGGAAAAAACATGGATTAGCTGTAAACTTGACTACTACACTTAGGACTCATTTGATACGAGGGATAAGGGATAATTTATTTCGTGATTGAATTTAAGATGAGTTTATTTCATATTTGGTTGGGAATTAGGATAAAATCGTGGCATAACTAATCCGGTATTATAATATTATTTTATCCCTATGAAAGGGTGAGATAACTAATCTCGGAATAATTAATCATAGAATAACTTGTTTTCCGATCGAACGGCCCCTTAACTATATATTTAAGATGTTAAGTGTCAAACAGACCTCTATCGGTAAAATAACTATTCCCTCCCGTCCAAAATAAGTGATTTTTTGGCCATATTTTTGTGTTTCAAAATAAGTGATTTTTTCATATTTCAAAAATGAATGAATTAATTATTTTTTTCCTACATTGCCTTTGGAGTAAATAGTGTTGGAATACGCTACGAAAACAACTAAAAAATCAAAGTAATCAATTATTTCAACAGATTGAAAAGTATAGGAGCAAGTAATAATTTAGCAAAACTTGAGGGGACAGAAATAGAGAACAGCAGCACCAGCTATTTCCGAGAAATTTCGCACCCATCAACACAGTACAAATCCATCAACTAAAATGATTTCATATGGCCATATATCTGCCAAATTTCATTATCACCAAACCCCTCCATTTCTTACGTAATATAACTATCAATCGAAACACAAATATTACATCCAGAACATTAAAAAAATATCCTCGTACTAATACTTTATGATATATTCTATCAACAGAATTATATATATTTCTTCAATCCATCGCCTGAGAAAAAAAATGACATCGTCCCCGTCTCCAGTAAACCGTCGTGCTACCACCGCGCACGGCAGCAGAGCGGCGCCGAGACTCGCGGTTGCCCACACAAATCCGGCCGTTATAGATGTCCAGGCCGGAAATGTGACGACCGCGAGCAGCGCTCGTGAGAAGCAACACAAGTTAACGAAGTTGTTGCTGAGTGTGAATATTCAGAACAGTTTGGGACCGGTGCATGTGGTGATATCGCCGGAGAACACCTTGGGAGATTTGATAAGGGCGGCGATTGAGATTTACGTCAAGGAGAAGCGGCGGCCATTGTTGATTACTAATGATCCTCGGTGTTACGAGCTTCACTACTCCCAGTTTAGTTTGGAGAGTAAGTTTCAGCCACCCATAATTTAATGGTAGTATTATTTTTTAAGCCAACTTTACTTCTATACATTATCAGTAAATTTTTGACAAGTGAACTTAATTAATTTATAACCTGTAAATTAAAAAAAAATTAAACTATTAATACATGCAAGTACAATACTACTTTTTAAAGTTTTTTTTTTGGTCATCATTTAAAGTTGATTATAGTTGAATTGAATCATGTACTCCAACAAAAACTCAGTGTATGTACGATGCATTCATCAACTTAAACTCAGAGGCGGAGCCAGGATTTGAAGCCTATGTGTTCGAGTACTAATACTTTTAGGGGTCATTTGGTATGAGGTATAAGAAGATATAGTGCTGGTATAAAAATTTAATACCATCTTAATACTTCGTTTTGTTAGCAAATCAGGTATAAGTTATCCCATGATTAAAATTAACATCGAGATAACTTATACCTTATAGAGGGTGGGGTAATTAGCACTGGTATAACTTATACATTCTTCTTACAAATTATGCAATTGTTATATTTAATACAACATACCAAACAATGGATAAAAAACAATCTCAGCATAACTTATTCCATTATAACTTATCCCGGCATAAGCCGTATTCAAACCAAACGACCCCTTAAGTTATTGGATTTTAAATAAATAATTTGTACATATTCACAGATTTTTTAAGACAAATACATGGATTGGACCAAAGTGATTGGGTACCGCCGAACCCGTACTCGATGGGCTAGCCCCTGCCCCTGCTTAAACTTGAAATATATGCATGTATTTTTAGAAGTATGTATATACAAAAAGAGTGCACTTGATTGTCCTAAAAATTTAGATCCTCTGCATGTAATGTTAATAGTTTTAAAGTGAGCCCTCTTATTAGTTGTTGTTAAAGGAAAATGAACAATTAAACTATTGACATTGAATTTGGATGAAAGCAATGAATAGAGTTATTATCATGATTAATTTCGTAGTTTGTGTTGTTGTGCATCATATTCCATGTATGTGTCTTGACTGTCTTCCCTACAGCAACGTCAACGAAGACAATCTTTTGCACATGTCAAAATTGCATAGCCACATGGTTATGTGCGAAATATTTTCTTCGTTTAAAGATCTCGGTCGATTTTGTTTAAGAATTGAGTGTTATTTGTGCTTTAGTTTAACTCTATTTGATATAACTAAACCATTAAGGCGTATAGTTTAATTAGTTAAACATGACCTTAAACAATCATGGTTTGGTTCATTCACGGGTTAATCGGGAATTATCTATTAGTATTTTTTTGTACGATAAAATCTCTTGCACGGTAAAAATTTACTTGCGCGTGAGTGTTTACATTAATCCATATTCAACGTACTATGGGTAAATGATTTAACAAAATAAAAATAAAGTCAAACCTCTTTATAACAATATTCCTAAATAAAAGCCATTTTTTTATTTTGGAATACGATCTTTATGTTATGTTATGTTATAATATATACTCTCTATAAAAGCTCTTCATTATAGCAGCCAAAAAATATCGGAACAAACGTGATTGTTATAAAGAGGTTTGACCGTATATAATTAACCGTAATTAGGTGAGAAAAATTTATATGTAAACACATGTCGTATATTTATTAATTTTATGTAAATATTAAAATTTAAAACCAACACGGTATGATTCGCGTAAAAAACGTGTCATTTTCTCAAAACTCGTTTATACACAAGCTTTGCTCCATCTATAAATCTAAGAAAATGAAGGTGTCATATAAATGGCAATATTATTATAAACTATGTTGACATGTTGATCGGTTATACGCAGGTTTGAAGACAGAGGAGAAAGTGTTGAATTTGGGATCTCGAACTTTCTTTCTTTGTCCAAAACCAAGCACTGCTGTCAAAGCAAAGGCAACACCAACATCTCCACTTCGGTTAACAAAGCTCATGGATTTCCTTCTATAACTTTTTCATATTCTAAACTACTATATATATTTATTTTTTTTTCATTTGAATGTGTCAGCTTTCCGATTATTGTCGAAATTGAATGTCCTAAAATATCTTGGGCTGAATTAAAATATTCATTTAACTTTCGACCACTTATATTTGCATCTATACCCGCTTTTTGGGTGACGTTTTAATTTATATCCGCTTTGCAAAATTAATTACAAATGTATCCACTTTTTCGCGTAACTTCAGCCAGGGGCGGATTTAGGGGGCACAAGGGTGTTCACCCGAACACCCTTCGCCGAAAAATTACACTGTATATATAAGGCAAAATCTGTTTTTTATCTCTATATATTAAGTTTTGAACACCCTTAACACAATCCAAAAGTGTAGTTTAGTGGTCAAGGGTGTTCAAATCTACATAAGGTCATGAGTTTAATTCCCACTAGCTACAAAAAAAAAAAATTTGAACCCCCTTCGTGGAGATCCTGCCTCCGCCACTGACTTCAGCATAAGGGCCTGAAGTAGCAAAGGCAATCACGCAAACTTCAGCATTCTAGTAGACAGGCCTGAAGTAGTAAAAATTGTTGAACCAAGTGTGCTGAAGTTTTTGTTTGTAATTGCTGAACTTAAGCATTCTAGTAGCTGAAGTTTTGTTCTCTATTTGCTGAAGTTTTTGTTTGTAATTGCTGAACTTAAGCATTCTAGTAGCTGAAGTTTTGTTCTCTATTTGCTGAAATTTTTGTTTGTAATTGCTGAATTTCAGCATGTTTTAGCTGAAGTTTTTCACGTAAACTTAGTATTGGCTGAAGTTTGTAATTGCTGAACTTAAGTATTCTAGTAGCTAAAGTTTTGTTTTCTATTTGCTGAACTTCAGCATGTTTTAGCTGAAGTTTTGTTCTATATTTGCTGAACTTCAGTATGTTTTAGCTGCACAACTCGTGCTCTCAAGATATGTCTATGAATTTTCTGCTAGAAGGGATTCATTATAGTTTGACTATTTTTACGATGGTAGTCATTACTCAACTTTCTGCTAACATCTTCAGGCTTTAGATTTTTCTTGTGCAATTAGTGTGATGATGGAAAAAAGATTCTTTTTCTGTGTTATTATTAAAAGGAAAAACTAATGAACTTTCATAATAAGAGATATGAATGGTGAAAGAAATCAGAGATCTTTGATGTTCAAATTGTGTAGTCTATGTATATATAACTGGTAATTACAAACTTAAGTTGGGGTTGAAATCTTAATGACTTATGCTAATCAGAACACAGAAAAAGTTGTAACCTATGAACTGAAGTTTCATAGCAGCACCAACAAAAGAAGAAGAAGAAGAAGAAAGAAGGAGAAAGAGGAAGAGAAAGAGGAATGTAGTTGTTTAAAAAGTATGGGTACAAGTTAAAACTTTTATTAAAAAAAAGGGTATAGGTTAAATGGGGGTGACCAATAGAACGCCCGTGCAATTTTTACTAATAAGTTTTATGCCAAAATTAAAAGAAATTTTACAATTGATCAAATCAACCTGTCTCACTATTTTAATTCATTTTCGTCCAAAAAATTTGAAGGGCCAATTTTAATTTACTTACTTTTAACAATTTTTAATAATGTCACTTATCCTTATGACCCAACTACCTAATATACCAACTGCAAGGTGGGATCTGTTATTATTATTATTATTATTATTATTATTATTATTATTACATGAAAGTGTACGTTTATGCAAATTTTTCCCAACTAATATACCATATGTAAAATACAAAACTAACATGTTTGAAACTTCAAGTTAATGGTACAAATCACCAATCAGATTTTTCAAAAACTTATCGTACTGCACTGATGTGAAGCCTAAGATCAAATTACGTGTTGAACTATCTTATCAAGTTTTTTTTTTTTTCCTTTTTCTAAACAAATGATACAATAATGAAGAATAGTATAATGAAGCAGTCGTTTACAAACATGTTAGAGCTCCATACGAGCAATATTAGTATTCTAGTGCACCTTTCTTGCGTTATCAACAATTAAATAATTTCTGGTTTGAATGGCTGATCAAATTTGTAATTTATAGTGTTTAGTACGTATAATTACCCAGTATGCTAACTTTAATTAAAAATTATGAAATCAATCGTAAAACTAAAAGCATAATGATCTGATATTTATATTTCAAAACCCAGTTATTGTTTTTTGGTGATTTTATCTCTTTTTTTACACATGAGAGATTTACTTTTACACGTAAGAGATCTGTCTTTTATGCATAAAAGATTTAAAAAGATTATTTTCTTATTTTTAAAATTATAAAAAGAGGAATGATATACAAATAGCACTTCTTTTTTTATCAATTGTGGTATTCCTTTAATTTCTACGCTAAGAAAAGGTACTACATGGGGATAATTGTGTATTGGGAGAAATTACATTTATATAAAGATGACGTACCAAGACACGTGGACTGGTCAAATAGTCAAAGAATTACAATTAATCAAGAGGCACGAGCAGCAATAGAAACGAGCAAGGACAAAGGAAGAGGCACGGGTGGCCCCATACCTGTTTAAATCATTTATATCCAAGAATCAAAATGAATGGATCTGACCATAGTAAAGATCGCAGATACAGAATTTGACAGGCATTAAATACTGGATACATTAGAGAATTTGTATTGATTATAATGATTATGTAACGTAGCATTCAATGTCTTTAATTATTCTAATAGCCTCATTATGATTTGGGGAAAACACATATCTTCAGGATACCTATAAAAGGGAGGTATCTGATCAATTGTAGGGAAGAGAGATATCATCGGAATATACTTTGATTTACTTGTTTTTCTCTTGATTACACTCTAATTACTTCAAATTACTTTCCTCTGCATATTCTTTTGATTATCAGTAACTCGTGTTCTTCTAAATTCTAGCTTTAACTGAAATTCTATTTTTTAGTTAAACAAATTGGTTCCGTTACCGAGAATCTGATAATCTATTTTCTTTTCACTTAACCTTCCTTGTTGCATCAATTATATCGAATAACAATGACAACACCCCAGGAAACCAACAGAACCAACAAAGTCAGGGAGGTCCACAGAATATTAACATTCAAGTTCCTACTCCGCAAGACTCTCCACGGCAATCTCGTGAGGGTACTCCTGATGGGTCTCAAATAAACGAATATGCTCAATTTGAAATTGCTGAAGCTGTTGATGAAGCTTTGCAGAAATTAATTGCTGCTTAGGTCAATAAAGCTGTTGAGGCACTTGTTAACCAGTTACCTATTGCAACACCCACACCTACTCCAAATAATAACACTGTGGAAAACCCTCGTTCTGGACTTGTTAATTCAGGTAGCGGTGGAACTCCCAGTAAGTCACAGGAGAGAGAACCAGGTAATGTAATTAATTTTGATTTGCAAAATTTAGTACTAACCTTGCAGAAACAGCTCAAGGAGCAAAGTGAGCGCATAGAGCAGATACCCGGGGTGCTGCCCATAATCAAAAGGGTAGATATGGATAGATATTCGCAACAACCCTGGAAGCCAAGTGTTGCTCCACTCCCAATACCAAAAAAGTTCAAAATGCCTGATATTTCAAAGTATGATGGAACAACAGACCCACGAGATCACGTGATTGCGTTCACAACGGGTGTAAAAGGCAACGATTTGACTAAACAGGAGATTGAATCAGTCTTAGTCAAAAAAATTGGTGAAACACTCACCAAAGGAGCATTAACATGGTATTCTCTTTTACCCGAAAATTCTATAAATTTTTTTGCTGAGCTTGCAGATTCTTTCATCAAAGCACGCTCGGGAGCTCAAAAAGTAGAGAAAAGAATGGAGGATATTTTTAAAATCAAGCAAGGGGACTTGAACTGCTTAGAGAATTCGTGGACAGATTTCAAAGTGAAAGAATGACATTGCCACGCGTACCTGACAACTGGGCAGCGATAGCTTTCACAAAACTGCGAATGCTTCTAATTAATTGAATCTTTTTTTAGAATCCAATTTTCTTATATATATAGCAGAGTGATGTCTTTATGACAATTCGTCAAGTAAACCTGCGCCCAAAGTGCTTAATTTGACTAAAAAGAGTTCGGAAGCTACGAGGAGACTTAAGGAAAGCCTTCGAGAATTCCCAGCTACAACGTGGAATGATGTTTATAACAGGTATAGCACGAAGTTAAGAATTGAGGAAGATACGGTTCCGCAATTCTAAAAAGATGAAAAAATAAGTTTGAGACGGGCAAAGACCGAAAAAAGGTCCGGTAAAAACAGGTACGAGTCTTATATGGGACTTCCGGGAAAAGACTCACGGTCAAAGCAGGATAATCAAAGATACGATCATAGATCAAGAAACAGAGAATTAGGTTCTTCATCAAAATTCAGGAACGAGCGAAACAGCAGAGAGTCACGAGATGACGATAGAAATTTAAAAGCAAGATTCGGTGGTTATAACTTCAACGTCGGCACCTCTGAGCTCGTGGCTATTTTGAGAAGCATGGGAGATAAGGTTCGTGGCCAAAGGAAATGAGATCGAATCCAAACAGGTGCAACCCTGACCATTGGTACGAGTTTCATAATGACCACAGACACAAAATAGCAGATTGCAGATTCTTACAAAGTGAAGTTGATCATTTATTAAAACAAGGATATCTTACTGAGTTGTTCAGTGAGAAAGGCAAGCAGGCTTACATGAAGAACATGCAGGATCCTCCAAAACCACCTTCTCCCAAAAGAACTGTTAACGTTATAAGTGGGGGTGAAAACGTCAATAATATACCGCAGCAAACAAAATTTCCAAAGTAACAATTACCCAAGGAAAACAGGTGCGGCATGTTTTAGAGGAAGACGGTATTACATTCAATGATGAAGATACAGATGGCATATTAACCCCTCATAACAATGTACTGGTAATATCTTTAATTGCACATGATACTAATGTGAAACGAGTTTTGATTGATCCAGGTAGTTCCATCAACATTATTTTGCTAAGAGTATTACGTGAGATGCAAGCTGAAGATAGAGTAATACCAAAGGCGCATACTCTATCTGGATTTGATAATTCCAGTGTTGTCACTAAAGGAGAGGTAATACTTACCACATTTGCTGAAGGGGTCGTCAAAGATACAAAGTTCCAAGTAGTAGACATGGAGATGACTTACAACATGATTCTTGGGAGACCCTGGATCCATGAAATGGATGTTGTTCCTTCGACCTTGCA